TCCATCCGTATTGCCGACTGAGGCTGATGGTCCTGCTCTCGTACGAGAGCAAATTTCGCCTGATTTCTTGCCAGAAATCGTACCCATCCCTGAGTCAACCGATGGTATTAGACCGGGTGACATAAACTTGCCTCGACTTCTACTTCCTCCGCTATCGTCATCGTCGGCACCGATACCGTTACCAACACCTCTGCCGTCACCAGCTCGACAGAACTCATCGACAACGGACAACTTAAAGATCACAGTTACGAGTAACCTGGCCGCAAATGTAAGCGGGAAAGAGGGTGAAAAAGCGACGGAAGATGATGAAACCGCGGCCAAGAACAAAGTTCTCCCATTCGCTAATCAGCCTCGTGCCACGGCTATTGCCTCTTCTCTAAAGCCCGGTCAGGTCACACCCCCCACCTCCATAGCCTCAGTGACAGCAAATGGCCTATCACTGACCACTCTGACACCACTGCTTTCGCCATATCGACATCGAGTTGCTGGGGCTGGGGCTTCTTCGACAGGCGAAACATTTCCCGCTGGTGGGCGGGGTCTACGACCGGTACCATTCGACCTTACGCTGAGTGACCGTACCTCAGCAGCCTCGGGAACAGGCCCTAGTGATGGGCGTGGAGACGAAGTGGACGAAGACGATGAGGAGCATTTAGAAGAGTTGAGAGGGCTACTGCGTAGCGGACCCCGCCGTCTGGAACACACGATTCTGGATACGCATGTAAGTCATTATTTTTGTAAAAAGATGTGATTTTCCAGGATTCGTCAGTCCTCATTTCCAGACAGCAACCCAGAGAAATGTATCAAGCTGCACTTCTCCAGGATTTTACTCTTTTGGTGTCTTCCGGGTTTTATTCATACTGCATTTAGCAGTCTGTAATTGAATGACCTAGGTTGCTCAGCTGCTCGAATGCCTGCCCCGTCTGAAGGCGAAATTCGGTTATTTATTGCCGGCAAATGAGAATGCCCATATCCGTACGAAATGAAATGAGATTCTCGAGACTGGCGGCGGATTACATGCGAACTGGAATCCGAGGTTTACAGGCCTATGATTTATCATTGTGAATAAACGATGAATCTTCTGAGATAGTGTTGCTATAGAGACTGTCATTTCGTATAAAAGTGCATACCTGGGATTGCGTAGTGTCATACAAGTGGTTTGGTTGATGAGCTTGATATGTTGTTAAACGAGTGTTAATTAGATAAGACAAGTAGAGTCGTCTACTTTTGGGCGGTGGCTAAATATGTTGAACTTTCTTACATTTCGAGTGAAAGTGTTGGGTGAAGAAATTCGGACGTCGGTTCCACCAGAAGACGACGGCGGATTCCTCTTGACCAGCTGTCGATTGGCTTTA